TGAAGGGTCCCGGGTTCAATTCTGGTCAAGGGCATGTACCTCAGTTACAGGCTTGATTCTCGGCCCTGGTCAGGGCATGTGCAAGAGGCAATCAAGTAATGTCTCTCTCTCACATCGATGCTTCTCTCTCTCTGTCTCTCCCCCTCTTTTCCACTCTCTCTAGAAATCAATGGAAAAATATCCTCAGGTGAGGATTAACAACAACAACAAAATCAGTGAGGGAAAATTACTTAGGAAGTCAAGCTGATTAAATTATTTGGAAAAACTAAAGTTGATCCCTATCTCATATTATACACCAAAACACATTTCAAATGTATTAAACATTAAATATAAATAATGAAACCATAAAATTACTAGTAGATAAATAAGCAAACATTTCATTGACTTCATGATTTCAAGATGTCCTTACAGTATAGTACTAATTTCACAACATTTTCTTTTCCAATAGAGCTATATATTACAGCTCTAGGTTAAAAGCTTGGTTTTTCTAAAAATTAGATCTGTGTAAGTAAACACAATCCTCTGGATACCTACTGAATTTGATAGAGATATAGCAAAAGAATAGGTTGTAGGAGGATGAGCTGACTGGAGGAAAACCTACTCTTTCTCTGAGCTCTGAGAGCAGTGGCCATCTAAGGGTGGCCTGTGGCCACAGACATGCAAATCACATCCAGCCACCAAGAGAAGCACTGGTATTGGAGTAAGGAAGGGTCGATGAGGAACTCTTCGTATCTTTGTTGCAAACTTTTATTTTGCAGATAATAATGTCTGCTAACAGGGAGGTATTTCAGAATTTAAAAGTGTATCATGTGATCAACATCACTAGTCCATAAGAAAATGCAAATCAAAGCCATGATGAAATACCACTTCACACTAATCCGAATGGCTGTTTTAAAAAAATGGGAAAATAACAAGTGTTAGTGAAGATGTTGAGAAATTGAAATCCTTGTGCGTTGCTGGTGGGAATGTAAAATGGTACAGCTGGTATGGAAAACAGTATAACGGTTCCTCAGAACATTAAACATAGAATTGCCCTATGATTAAGCATTTTCACTCCTGGGTATTTACCCAAAGAAACTGAAAGCAGGGACTCAAACAAATACTTGTATACCAATGTTCATAGTAGCATCATTCACAATAGTGAGAAGGTGGAAACAATCCAAATGCCCATCAACAGATGAAGGGATAAACAAAATGTGGTGTATAGATGTCCAATGGCATATTTACTCAGCCTTAAAAAGGAATGAAATTCTGATACATGCTATAACATGGATGAAGCTTGAGGACAGTACTCCTAGTGAAACAAGACAGACACAAAAAGACAAATACTGTATGTCTCCACTTATGTGAGTTACCTAGAATACGCAGATTTATAGAGATAGAAAGCATAACAGAGGTGACCAGGAGCTGGGGGAAGGTGGGGAGTGAGGTTGGGAATTTTTTTAAATGGGTGTAGTCTCTGTTTGGGAACGATGAAAAAGTTCTGGAAATGGACAGTGGTGGTGCTTACACTACCTTATGAATGCCCTTCATGCCACTGAATACACTGAAAGTATAAATGATAAATTTTGTTATGAATATTTTACCACAATTTAAAAAGCATACCATGGACTATGTGTGTGTATATACATGAGGGTCTACAGAGTAAAGAATGTAATTTTGCCGAAAAGTAGAGCAACCTCATTTATTTAGTCAACAAACATTAAATATATACTTACAAGATATGTATAGACAGTTTAGGCAATGTAATCCTAGAATTTCATAATTGAAAAAAATAGAAATCACATAAATATATATCATTAAAGTCCTATAATTATTATTAAAGAAACACATAGGTGATTATTCTGGCCCTGAGCTTTGTAGATTACATGCCCAAAGGGATCATGAGTCTTCCCAAGGAGCCTTTGGGGACAGTGTGACAGGCCCTCAGTGCCCCTTCATCACTTTTTTTTTTTAAGAAGGGAAAAGAAAGAAACATCGATGAGAGAGCACAACATTGATCCGCTGTGTCCTGCAAGCCCCCTACTGGGGATTGAGACCACAACCCGGGCATGTGCCCTGAGAGGAAATGGGACCAGAAACCTTTTGGTGCACAGAATGATGCCCAATCAACTGTGCCACACTGGCCAGGGTGCCCCCACAACACTGTCTTATTTCAGTTGCATCACAGCTGATGTCTACCAACCATTGGTATTCACTTGGTTCTCATACAGAATATCAGCCAAATGTTAATAAGATCCTTTTTTGCTACGGTTTAGAGAACATACATTTAAAAAGATAGAGAATGATACCTCACATTTGGAAATATGAGATACTATGAATATTGGAAATATTCATTCTATTAATAATCCCTCATGAACAATCTATAAAATAGGTCAATGATTTCTTCTCCATCTTTTAGAAAAGACAACACTGACAGACATAAAAGCGAACTGACTTTGTGCTTATTGTTGGGGCGCACACTAGGCGACTATAGCTAGTGACTTTCTAAGGTGCAGGCTAAGCCTCTACAGCAGTCCCCACTGTGTGGGGCTGTGTTCAAAAGCACATATTTCTTCCTTTTGTCTACTTTTAAGAAAATCAGAAAATAGTTTTAAAATAGTGTTCTACCCTTAGATTTCTACCATAGCAACCTTAAAGGGATGCTTTCCATATTTGTGGACATATATTCCTGGCTCTGGTCGTCAGTAGAATAGCACCAGCACTGGCCTGCCACAGCGCAGATATTCAGTAAATGGTTGTGAAACTGATGGATGAACACATTGGAATATATTAACTGTGGGACCGGAGATGTGTTTGAAAGGTGAATTTTTGTTGTAGAAAGCCCCTCTCCTCTAAACCTTGCAATCATTTCCATACCAAATGAATGAAAAAGAAATCTCAATTAGTAACTTCAGATTCAGACACTTTAATAAATGTAAAATATCCAGGACAGTGCAGGCAAGTTAAAGGCAACAAATCCTAGTTTTTCTCTTAATTCCTATCAGCCAATATTTAAAGTTTTTAGTAAATTGTTATTAGATCCAGTGACTTCTAGTCACAGACATAAAAGATATAATAACCATAGGCCTTTTCCTAGACCAATTCTCCTAAAAAATAAAGCACCACTATGACTGACATATTACAGAGCTCACCCCATTCCATAAGGCCCACCAGTGGAGCAAGGAGCAGAAGAGAACAGTAGGTGACTATCACAAAAACCACCTGCTTTCCAAATTCTAACAGACTACAGAAAAACACACACACACGTCGACCCCCTCCCAACTCTGGAACTTTTACCATTTTGGAAGCTATTATCAAGGACCTTATCCCAAGCACTATAATAGCCCCTCATCCACCCCAGCCCTACATCCTAATATAAAGAGCCAGGGTCCGTCACGACCTAAACGTCCAGACGGACGACTGAACACCAGGCTAGGGTCCCGGCTGGCGCAGTGGAAGTCAGTTCTGGGTCCGCAGCGGGAGTCAGTCCTGGGACCCGGCTGCCTGCGGTGTGGCAGTGAGAGGGAGTTCTGGGCCCCGGCCACCCGTGGTGTGGCGACAGTAGGGAGCCGTGGGAACCGAGCCGTGCTGCAACTGGACTGGCCTCTTGGTCCCTCCCCCCTGCCCGCAGGCTTTGGGGAACCAGAGCCATGCTGCGATCTGGGAGTCGTGGTCCCTCCACCCGCCTGCAGTCTCCGGGGAACCTGAACAGAGCAGGAAAATTAAAGGCAACAAATCCTAGTTTTTCTCTTAATTCCCATCAGCCAATATTTAACGTTTTTAGTAAATTTAGCTGCGATCAGACTGGCCTCTTGGTCCCTCCCCCCGGCCCGGGGTACCAGAGCCATGCTGCAATGGGACTGGACCCTACCCGAGGGGTCCCGGATTGTGAGAGCATGCAGGATGGGCTGAGAGACCCTTCCCCCCAAAGTGCACGAATTTTCATGCACCGGGCCTCTAGTCTAAAATAAAATAGTACATAACAGTGGCATATTTTGTTTGCGGCAGCCAAGAGCTCAGGAAACCCCCTCCAGCCCTTCTGTGTAACTGGATGAGTCCACTGTATACTATGAGTCGGCACTTTCTACATTTCTGGAAATTCCTTACCAGCAACATGACCGACAACGTGAAGCCAGCTTTCCATTTCAATGCACAACAGAAAGTGTTCAAGCACAGCTCACTTCAGCTGGAGGACTGCTGTTAATCTAACGGCTGTTTCATCAAAATAAGTAAAAGTCTACAGAAAGGCATTGGTTAAGAAAAAGGAATAAAGTACTTTAAAAATACACAAACATACAAATTGTGATTTGGTAAACCAGTATAGTACATTTGAATAAAGGTACTCCAGTGGCTAGAAGGAAAACACAAATTAATTTAAAATGTAATTCAATTACTGCCCAACTTTCTGTTGCACACATTATTACAGAGTTGCACGCCTTTGGCAAAACCTCTGTTTATTATATTAAGAAGCTGCTAAGTTTTGTTTAGATTATTTGGCTTGGCCAGTAATGTAATATACAGAAATAACAATGGAAATGTAAGTATTTTGGGAAAAAGAACTTCATAGCAGATATTTCAATCTGCATATACCTTTAATTGAAATGTAACTTCCCCCTCAATTAATGGTTGACTAGCACAAAATACATTAACAGCTTAACAAAGATTTTAGGTTACAGAAGTGAATTTTTAGAAGATTAACAGACCTTAAAAACATCTATGAAAAAGTGTGCCTTTTCTTCATTTTACACTCAGAAAGCTGCTTTTCATAGTTAAAATGTCAGCTACAAGAAGTTGTTTTTCCGTAATCCTTAAAGAGAGTTTCAGAATTTAAGTTCAGTAAAAAGACCAAAGAGCTCAGCTATTACAGTCATTAATCAATGCATTTAACATTCGTGCAGTATCAGAATGCAAGACATCTGACTCTAATTTCAATTCTGGCTCAGAATAAAAGTGCCTCCTCCACAATAGTCTGATTATAAACTGTTCTTTTCCTCCTCTCTTTTTTTCTTTTTTGGAAGCTGTTGTCCTTCACTCTTGCTGGAAGCCACCTGACCACTGCCAGGAAGAAGAATGCAAAACATTCCCAGGAGCGGCTGTGACGTCAGTACCACATTCCACTCTCCGCGGTCAGGACTGTGGGGAAACTCCAGCCTCTAGCGAACCCTTCAGATGAGATAACAGCTGAGCCTGCACTAAATCACACTGAGAACTTCCCAATGTTATGCTTTAAAGATATTTTTTATAAAAAGGAGGGAGGGCAGGAACAGAGCTGGCTTTTTAAGGCATATTTACTGTTAATCTTCAAAAGTGCTTTTTTGTTTGCTATGTGGAGGGAAATCAAGGAAAAATGATTTACCAACAGTCATCAGCATACCAATCCCTTTGGGCCAGTGATTTTCAACCAGGGTGCTGCAAGAATGTTTAAAACATGCAATACCTGACTATTTAGTCCGGGGCACTGAGCTCTTTGCCCTTAGATTTGTAAAATAAAACAGTGACAACAGCCAACACAACAACAGCTGTCTGGTGTGAATGAGTCAAAATCACACCTATTTTTTGTCAAATTGGCAAAAAATACATTTTTTTGGTGTGCCCTAGAATTTTAGTAATTACTTTATGTGTGCCATGAGATGAAAAGGCTTGAAAATAGTTGCCTTAGGCATTAGCGTGTAAATAGGGTAAGATGAACAACAGATTAGTTTGGGCCTCAACCAGTAGAACTTGCTCAATTAAACAAACCCAACAACCCAGTCTCCAAACCCCTTTCCAGGAGAAAAAGACGAAAAGTCCCACTCAAGAAGGCATAGACACGTTTAGACAGCAGTAAAAACCTTTTATCTAAAGGGAAATAGTGTAAAGAGATACAAACTAAACGGTACAAGTATTACAAAGAAAATACAAACGTTTATATGCATAATCCTGTTATATGCAACTTTCATTTGTAACTTCCTAGAGTCCTCAACAAGCACATTTAACATATATTTTGTACACTGTCTTTGCATATATCAAACACTTTCCCATGCTGATTATGATCATCTATACTTTATGAAACTCTAAAACTGTAAAATGTTTCTTGGGGAGAAGGGAGGAGGGGTCTCTTACAAAAATGTTTTAATGCGCATCATTTTTTTTGTGTGTTTTTCTAAATAATATCCTTGGAATAAACTTGCAGGCATGGATAACTAAATTGAGTATACAATTTCTTACAATTGCCAAATTTGCTACATATTGCCATATTGATTTCTAAAAAACATTGCTTAATTATAAGACAACTAGAGGCCCAGTGCATGAAATTCTTGCGGGGGGGGGGGGGGGGAGTGTCCCTCAGCCTGGCCTGCACCCTCTTCAATCTGGGACCCCCCGGGGGATGTCAACTGCCGGTTTAGGCCTGATCCCATCGGACATCCCTCTCACAATCCGAGACCGCTGGCTCCTAACCACTCGCCTGCCTGCCTGCCTGATTGCCCCTAACCGCTTCTGCCTGTCAGCCTGATCACCGCCTAACTGCTCCCCTGCTGGCTTGATTGATGCCTAACTGCTCCCCTGCTGGCCTGATCGCCCCCGAATGCCCTCCCCTGCTGGCCTGTTTGCCCCCAACTGCCGTCCCCTGCCGGCCTGATCTCACCCCCAACTGCCCTCCCCTGCTAGCCATCTTGTGGCAGCCATCTTGTGATGACGTCACGCGTGATGCCACCTAGACTTTTATTATTTGGGATTATAAAGTTTCTATGTATCTATTATAATGTAAACCTTGTCAGCATTCATATATGTGTATGCACAGATAAGTACACACATAGTTGAAAAATAGTGATCTGTCAAAGATTCTTTAACTTACATTTTTCTGATTAAAACTGAGACTGAAAATTCCTTCGAGAGTTATATTTTGGGCAATTTTTGAGGTAAGAGTTTTTAGAAAAAAATATTACAACCATAAGTAGCAATTATAGTAGCTATTATAAAAAACCGATTTTATATTCATCCGAACAACAAAAATATTGTTTTTGAGTTTCTTAAGATATGCTGCTATTAGGAACAATAACATGACTATAGCTGTCATTCCTGGATAGAGGCATGGCGTGTGTGCAGGGTTCACTGTATGTGTGCGCAGATACCTGTGCACACATCTACATGCCACTCAGATATTATGTGGTGAAGGAGGAGCACAAGACAAATATGCTCTAGGCCTAGTTCTGCCTCTGGAGAAGTTAATTACCTTTTCTCAATCTGTTGCCTCATCTGTAAGAATCTAGTCCTACTTCTCCCACAAGTTTATCTAAGAGGAAATAAGAAAATAGACATGAATGTACTCTGATGAGTTACTTGACTAGCTTCTGTTTCTTAGTTATTATTATAAACTAGAGGCCTGGTGCAAATTCATGCACTCCGGGGGTCCCTCAGCCCGGCCTGCACCCTCTCACAATCCAGGACCCCTTGGCGGATGTCTGACTGTTGGACATCCCTCTTGCAATCTGGGACTGCTGACTCCTAACTGCTCACCTGCCTGCCTACCTGATTGCCCCTAACCACTCTGCCTTATCACCCCCAACCGCTCACCTGCCTGCCTTATTGCCCATAACCACTCTGCCTGCCTGATCACCCCTAACCACTCGCCTGCCTGCCTGATCACTCCTAACCACTCTGCCTGCCTGCCTGCCTGATTGCCCCTAACCACTCGCTTGCCTGCTTGATTGCCTCTAACCATTCTGCCTGCCTGCCTGATCGCCCTTAACTGCTCGCCTGCTTGCCTGATCGCTCCTAACCGCCTCTGCCTTGAGTCCCTGCTCACCGAGGCTTTGTCTGGAATGACGTCTGGAAGGTCGTTCGACTGTCCAGTCTAATGAGCATGTTACGCTTTTATTATTATAGATTACTAATAAATGTATCCAAATTATAAAACTTGGAATTTATCACAGTTGCCAAAATGTTTGTAAATGGCATTCCCCTAGGCCCTAAAACAAAGTAACTCAAAGTAACTTTCTTTCTGCTGCATGATATAATAATGCCTGGAGTAGAAATAGAGTATCTAGATGGCAAAAATGTCTCAGTGAAATACAGAGGTTGAAATATAAAGACTTAGGGAGATTTACCATGTATCTTGTTATCCACCTCTTAACATACCCCCAGGAAGTCATAGAGAAGAAGGTGAGTATTGTAGGTGCTGCCTTTGAAATGGGATGCTTTCAATGAGGATAAGCAAATGCTGAGGCAGCAGAGCTAAGTGTCCCCAGGTAAGATAGACATAGTGGACATAAGAAGGAGGACCAAAGTAATGGTTTGAACTATAGGAATTTTTGGTGGTGGATAATTAATGAGGGGTTTCTAGGACCAAAGCAGCTGAGAAGACCAAGAAACTCCTATCTGATCTGTAGGTCAAGTGACAGGCCCTGTCTGATCAGCAATATCCCAGGCCTCTCTTCTAGTCTTAGCCCGAGATAGGAAGCCGTCTTAAATCCCCTAATTGAGGGAGAGGTTGGGTTTTTAAGGAAGAAGCCTTCAATAATATCAATCTATAATAATAAAAGAGTAATATGCTAATTAGACTAGAAGTCCTTCTGGACGAAGCTGGGGCTGCGAGGGAAGCCCGCGTCCTGGGTGCCTGCCAGCGGCCAGAGGGAAGCCCGGGTCCCGGGTGCCAATGCCTGCAGCCAGGGGAAGGAAGGCCTACTCTTGGACGATTTTGTGCATCGGGCCCCTAGTAACCATAATCATGTAATTTAGCTCTTACTTCTACACTTTCCCAAAGGATCTGGATCTGCTTTTGAGGACAACTGTGCATTGGAGAAAGTGAAATAACAAAACCTTTCAGGATTTATTGGACATTGTCCCTGAACTAATGTTGATCCCCAAGGAGTAAATACCTCTGTGTTCGACCAGTCAAGTTGAAGGCTTTATGGGTGACAAACACAAATGGAGTTTGTCTTATGATTACCTGTCCAGATTCTGAGTTCATAAATGGAACATATATTCAGAAATAGGCATATTGATCTATGTAATAAGAACTACTATGATTAGAAGAGCTAAAAAGAGACTCCTAGGCTTTTCTTCACTGCCAAAATAGCAAAGTAAAAGAAATACTGCATCTTTTGAGGGAATCACAAAGATTAATGTCACCATCAGAAACTTTAAAAGATGCAAGGTGGTGATTCCTATCATATCTCTTTTTGTGTGGCAAGCCTATAATGAAGGTCAATATTTGAGGTTGACAGTAGTATTCAGTATCACGGACTTAATTAGGGAGCAATTCCAGTTGCAGTTGTTGATACAGATGTGGATTCTACTAGATTTGGTGTGCAGCTACTGATTTGACCTGTGTGTGTGTGTGTGTGTGTGTGTGTGTATGCGTGTATGCATGTGTGTTTCTCTCTCAATAGAAAAGAAAACAGAAAGCTACTTGGCGGGGCAGCGGGATACGTTCACGCTGCATTAGTGCCCTGTCAACTCTGGTTCCATGCTGTAACCAGTCTGCAGTAACCTTCATCATCTTAGAGTCCCACAGGACAAGATGGCATGAAGTAACAGGTACCCTACGATACCCTGGTAAGACATGTATGTGCCAGAGGGTAGATGATAAATACGGCTTAGATCTCATTGGACTTTGGAAGTAACTCATGCCAATCTATTTTGTGTACTACTCCGGTCTATTTACTGAGTGACCGATAAAGCTGTCAGTGTTACGTGAAGCTGAGAGAAAGCTCTCTGTGTGGTCCAGTATAAAATGCAAGCAACTGTATCCTTGGCCCTTGTGACTAATGGAAGCACCTATGCCTGACTTGGAACCAAAATAGAATAGTGGAAGGACCTAAGGTTTGGGGGCTAAGCCATGCTCTTATTCAGCACGTAACTATTGCTACTGGGTCACAGTGCAAAATGAACACCTGACTATTGTAGATAACCTCAAAACCTCCACCATGGCACACTAGAGAGCCATGGAACCCATCATGAAGTGGCCACTGACTGATTCAACTGGTCACAAAGATGGACGTGTCCAGGAATACTATGTCCTCAAGTTAAACTTATACATGTAGTATAGTCAGGTGTGAAGAGCACCTGAAATTAAGTAAATTTCAAAATGAGGAAGCTCAGACTCTTGCTTTACCTATTCCTGCTGCACCTGCCATCCTTCCTTCCGCCCACCCTACGGCCTCATGGGAAAGTCTGTATAACAAGTAAACAGGAGAAAAAGTCAAGCCTGGTTTTCAGATGAGCTGATATGATCCAGGTAGTAGCTAGAAATAGAAGATTCAGCTCCCTTCAGAGAAGGCCCTGATAGGTAAAGCAGAGCCTTGTGTGGTGCCCTTATGTCCAATTTTCCCAGGAGAGATGGCATGAGATATGGGTCATACTGACTCATGCACCACCATAACTGTTTAGCTGGATGGTGGGGACTATTTTTTGAGGGCACATCTCATGGTCCATTTGACCCAGGAGTAAAGACAACTGCTAGATGAAGAACCAAATTTTAAATGGGTAATCACAAATGTAGAAGGAAGAAGACAAGAACTAGCAACAAAATGGTTGGGCAAAATGTATGTGGATGAATCTCTTGAATAAAGAACAAAAGAAAACATTCGTGTCCCATCTGAATTCTTACTGGAGAAGAGGAGACTCTAAAAAACCAGGAGGACATTGTAAATCACCCTATAATTGCTAGTTTGTTTCTTTCCACAGTAATCTAGAGTTTGTTCAGTGGGATCATAAACGAAGTGATCATGATGGCAAAGGCAGCTTTTACCATTGAGACTGCCTCTCACCACTGCTAACCTGTCTACTAACACTACTGAGTACCCAACTTGCCAAGCACAACAATCAATTCTGAGGGAAAAGCCTGCTACACAGTACCAGGCTAATTACATTGAACCCCTTCTATCAGGACAGGACAACAATTTATCCTCACTAAAATATACATTTATTCAGGTTTGGTTTTGCTTTCCCCATCTGCCATGCTTTGCCAGCAATACTGTGTGTATAGTTAAATGCACCAGGTAACAAACTTTGGCTCTATTAGGACACATGAACCATACCAGGTGTAGTAACCACTTATAGAAAGGAGAACTATAATAGCTATGCATATTTCTCCTTTGCCAACTGTGTAATACATATTTATGTGTGTTAAATAATTTTCTGTCTCCTTTTGCCCTATTTTATATAGAACTAGAGGCCCGGTGCACAAAATTCATGCACTCGGGA